GTTGCTTTCTCAGCCTTCAATTGCGCAATAACCTTTCTCTTTGCTTCCTTTTGTTCCTCGGTATCAACAATCTAAGAAATTCCACAGATTACTAAAAAAAATCTCAAAAGTTCTACAAAGAAAATTGAGGGTCCAACCTTAACATCTTTCCCCTTCCCTCTGAAAATAACCTTCTCCTTTTGCTCATCTATATCAGCAATCTACAACATTCCACAAACATGTGAGACATGTGTATATACTTGAAAAGTTCTGAAACGAAAGTTAAGTATAATACCTTAACATCTATTCCCTTTCCTTTGGAAACAGCATTAACCTTCCCTTTCACAGCAGTTTCCTGGTATACCCCAGCCATAAATTAGTTTCATTGTGACAAAAACAAATTCATCAAATACAAAACAGTTGAATTGAAGCAAATAGTTAAATTGAAACTAGCAACATTACAAATTGATTCTCAACAGCCAAACATAGTATAAATCATAACATGTTTCATATTGAAAATCGACAACTGTAATTACACATCTTTTAGACCACCAAACGATACCTAAACACCACCATCATATCTCCGTCACGAGAATTGGTGAAAAAAAAGGTATCAAGTGGAGATTAAAAACAGAGTATCAAGAGACGAACAAAACTGAACCAAGAAAATGAAGAATATAAGCAAAATATTTGAAGAAGATTACCTCTTTTCCTCTACAAAGTGAGTAGATCACTTCAAGCATAGCAAGCACGCATGTGTAGAAGATTAGAATCATGGCAAGCAGGGAAGAGACAACATTCTGTATCACAGAGGATAAGAAAAGATAATATAAACTTCAGTAAAAATAGCAACAACTCATGCCGATTCTCAACAGCCAAAACACTGTAATAATTCATAACATGAACCTCAACAAAATTCAGATGCAAACAATACCAATTTCAGAGTAAAAACTCGAGAATTATAATTACACCATCTCTTAGACCACCAAACAATACGTAAACACCACCATAATATCTCCATCACGAGAATCGGAGCAAAAAGCAATTTCACAACATCGAAAACTATTAAAGTAGATCTTAAACCACCAAACGACACCTATGCAATGATAAACCACAGAGAAAATTCCATTATCAAGCCATCAAATTCCACTATCAAACATCACGAGAATCGGTGCAAAAGTAAATATTAACATTGACAACTATCAAATTAGCTCTTACCTAACCAATCGACACCTACGCCATTAAACTACATCAAAATTACGAGTATCCACAAACTCAACATGGCGATTTCTCCGTCCAAAAAGCAGATTGTGATTGCAAAGCAATTTCACCAGAATCGAGAAGTATAAATCCGCTTTATAATGTAAGAACTCAGATGAAAAATGCTCGTACCTCGAGATCCGCCATTAGAGAGACTAGAGGAGAACTGAGAGAGATCGCGCGCTACAAGTTTTTGTTTCTTCTTTCTCTTTGAGGAATTTTTTTGAATTTCTTGCGACAACTGCAAGATAGAGCTCATATGGGCTTTAAATAGGCCCAAAACGGAACTCATATTCTTTTGTATATTAAAGTTTTTCCTTTTAGATTTTAAAAAATTAAATTAATATATATATTTAGCTTGGTACGAGCTCCCATTTTTTTCTTTTTAGTTTGGTGATCTCCACGTTTATCTATTTTTTTTTCTTCCAATGGTGTCACAATTTTAATAATCGGAGCTCCGTTTTCAAACAAAGATTTACCTTTATGTTGTAGATTTTTGATAACAAACTTATAAATTTTGTTCAGTTTGGTTTCGGTTAAGTTTTCAGGACATAGAAAGTTGTAAGATTTCTAGTTTTCATGCACAAAACGAAAAAAACCACACTACTTACGAAGTGTTGTTGATCATTGATTATGGAAAGTAGCACTTGATCAACACGCACAAAGGCGTCACCATCAGATTTCATGATAAATTTGGTCTGTTCAAGAGATGTAACAGTAAAGAGTACACAATTGATTCAAGGAAAAGACATGACATAGACAAGTATTACCCCCAAAGATGCAGACTGCTACTGCTTTCCAACTGATGAGTCGGTAATAATCAACAAAGGCATTAGCTGAAACATTATCATAAGTCCCGACCATGGCTCCAGATCTTACATCACCATATTCCTTCCATGTTCCGAGAAAACGCCAGTAACAAGATCAAGTGGCCTTGATGGTGAAAGGGGAGGCGTGCAGGGCATCTAGGTCAATAATGTGCTCTAACTCTTCTGATGTGGGTTAGCTGCTGGCAAGAAGAGATATTTCAAGTCACCCGTAATCCGTATTTTACTAACAAGCCATGGCTCCACTGTTCTGAAGCAAATATAAGAGCTTGAGGGAAATTTTTTGCTAGAAATAGAGAAGAAGAGTTGTGAGATATTACATGGCAGGAAGCAAATGAGGTTATATGTCTCCCATCAAATCCTTATTTTCCCAACCAACCGATAAGAAATCCTGCTTAAAACGAAAGCGCTTTCTCTGGCTACTGAAATCCTCCTAGTATTGGAATTGCATTTTTTCCACTTTGTTATTCACATCAGGATCAAGGTTTATACAGCATTCATGAGATGCCCTCAGTCAAACTTATCACCAAGAAGCGGTTCTAGTGTCAGATCGATCAGATAGCCACCAACAAGACTATCTGGGATGCCAATAACCGTGATGTAGGAACCCTGAGTCAACTTGAGACTAGTTCCATGAGCTTCAGTAGCATCCATTTTCTGACTTGATTTTCGTTTGCATCAACCGCAGACACAAGCCGTCCCCAAGAAATGCCAGCTTCCTTTATGGCATCCACCCCATTTGCTAAGCTGTAAGCATTATCCACCAGACTTTACACCAAAGCCTATATCTCTTCTCTGATCATTAGTAAGTAAGAGAATGCAAGTTTCGGTCCACTGTTGAATGTTGCTAACGTTTAACTTCAATCAATAAAGATATTATCATGTGCCCTGAAACACAAAGTAGCATGGGTTTGCTCATGAACAAGGAATATAAATCTGCAGACCAGCCAAGTAATCATCATATTAATTTCAAATGGACTATATAATCACAAAGAAAATATGCAGAAAATTTAGAAAACAACATCAAGGTTTGAGAAAAACAAAATCAAACAGACTAGTCGCCAACTCAAGGCATTAGAATCATCATCGATCGACCATAAGAATACCCAGAAGAAATGCTACTCGTTAATATCACACTCGATCAAACGCTTCAACAATCATAAAATAACCTCAAAGCAAAAATGAAAATCTGCTTACAAGTAAACGAGAAGAAATGTCCCCTTCAGAATCCGATACACCGGAATGCCGCGAGATAGTGACGACAAAAATTCCCAAGTAAAATGCTTTCTACTTTCTCTTTGCGTATTCTCGAGAAAGCGATTGTGCTTTGGATTTTCTCGAGCCCCTTCTACAAAACAAAAAGCAAAAAACAAATTTGATATTAATTAATTATTTACTTATTTCTTGCTGTAAATTAGTTACATAACTAAAACAAATAGTTGGGCCTAATTTTACCACGATAGCATCAGCCCATTTTCTCACCGTCATAAATCCTATCCTATGTATTAATTGAAAAATCTTATGTGTAAATTTTATGTATCAATCAATAAAGTAATTTATAGATCAAATATGAAATAAGCGGATCCATTTTTTTTAAATTAATTAGATTATTATTTCCATAAATAATAATTCTCAACATCAACGAATCAGTCATTTAACTTAACAAATTCAACATCACAACCAGTCAACCAGCGGAAGCAAAACTCAACTAAACCATTCAATAACCAATTCCTTAAACTAATTCTATAAACAACAATAATCCAATTCAACAATTCCATAAAACCAGCAACCTAGCAATGCTAAACGATTCATAACGCAGC